GGACCAAGGGGGGGAAGAGGGGGGGCGGGCGAGAATGCGATGGCGAGCAATATTGGCAGGAGCCTCACCATCATCGTTTTCAGAGTCGTCGCTGTCGTCGGTGTCATTGGCGAGTGCGGAGTCGGTGCCGGGGCTGGTTGTCGACGCGCGGAGCTTTCGGCGCACGAGTAGGTGGCGGCATTTCTTTCTTCTTGGCGAAATTGGTCGTAGCAGTTATATTGTCCGAAGATGTTCCGAGCGTAACATTCGGCTGCTGGTGTAACAGCGCCAAAAGCGCCTGGAGCTGTTGTGCGGTCAACGCGGGGGCGGCGGCGGCTGGCACGACCTCGTCAAAGGGCGTGTGCTCGGTGGGGCCCGCGTGGCCTGCAGCCGTCGCGACGTGCGCAGGCGCGTGGTCCTCCGTTGGCAGCTCGCGCGCTCGTGAGTTTCTTCTGGAGCAGCGCGATTGGCGCCAAGCAGGACCTCGACAGCCGAGGGACCCTCGCCAAAAATTTCCTCAGCAGGACGTTTGGCGACGGGCGGTTGCCCCGGCCGAAGTTCCGGGCTCCACGGAATTGTTGGGGTTGTTCGTCGGACGATTCGGAGTCGTGTTCGCCGACGCCATGTTAGCGAGGTTGTGCTGCAAAATGTCGGTGAGGAGCGTCGTCGGAGCCTTGCCTCGGGGGAGGACTGGGTCTTCGCCAGGTTGGACGAGAAACTGCGGAAATTGAACTAGAGAAACTAGAAATGAAGAACGTGGGTGAGCCGAATGGCTCACGTCCCTCTTTGTAGGCAAAGAGGGTGAGTAGCGCTTCGTCGCTGCCTTTGCTGCGTTGGCCCTCGCTACACTCTCACAATACACATTTTAGAAAGTGTTACACACTTTCAAAAAATTACATATAGCGTATTGCCGTATTATATTCAAAGCGGATTTGAGCCGCGTGCTCGATCACCAATTGGCACAACATCAATCTTCAGCATGAAATAATATATATATAGCATCAAGTTTTTACAAAGAAGCGGCCATCAAAGCCTCTAGACAATCTTAGCCAGCCGATTGGCCCCTTGGCCTCGTCGAGGACAAATCTTTAACCTCATGACCGGGTTCGTGACAGTAAAAGCATCGACCATCGCCATCCCGACACCACGTATTCCAAGTATGTGCATCTTCACCCCTATTATGGGGGGGATCGGTGCGAGATGTCGAGGTGGTGGGTCTAGTGGGCTTCTTTTTGCTGGCCGCCACAATTTGTGTAGCGGCCTTACTTAATCTTTAGGGCCGTATTGGCCACTTCAAAACTGCGTTGATCTGCGGTGAATAAGAAATGAATCTTACCCTCCACCTCCTTGACTATCTGCTGGAGAAAGTCGGCGGCTAACTCGCCACCACTAGGGGGCAAAGCGGAGAGCGTGTGTCGAGCAATAGCTTGGATACGCTCGACGCTAAAAATTTGGGTTCGAATGCCGTCACTTTTTACCAAAGAAGAACGCAACAAAGGACGTGCAGGAGGGATAGGAGCAAGATTTGGGATGGTAGAACCAGACTTGAGACGAGCGGCGTTACCTTCATCGAGGGTTTCCATGGGCGCGTCGTCGTCCGCGCCATCGCCCTCGGCTCGACCGCGATGGGAGGAGGGCGGGAGTGTGGCACTGCTGCTATTGCAGGTCGAGCAGGTGCAGGGGGCCGTGCTGGATCACCGGTTTGTCCGTGCTGAAGGGCCGCGAGAAGACCGATGACCTCATGAATTGCGTCATTATTAGCATTGTCATTGTTGATGTAACGAGCAGGAATTTGTTCTGCAGATCGGGCGCAGTAGAAGTAGAGGAGCGCGCTGTAATGCGTTCACCAATTGCAGCACCCGTGAAGATTCGATGGAAATTTCGCTGGCTGGCGAGGTCCAGACGCGCCATCATTTCGGTGAAATTTGCAACTCCATTGGCGATGATTACAGGATCCTCCTGTGCGCGTTGATTCATCGGGCGAGATTCCAAATCAGCGTGGGCGTCCGGATTCTGGCAATCGCCACGATCCTGGCGGTCCCGGCGATTCGCACACTAGTCAAGATTCTGACGATCCGGTTCCTGACGCGTCTGGTCACGCCCGGGATTCTGCTCATTATTTCGACCTACACGCCTTGAATCGCGATGATCATTGCGATCCTCGCGCGCAGGACCGTCATTATTGCGGCCGAGGGGTGCCGCGCACAACTATTCCATGGGTGGCGGGGCGTTTTCTCCTGCCGGGTTCAAGTCGACACGTTCTGGTTTGTCACGCCGCTCGCCGCGGGAGAATCACGACCATTAGAAGTGTTGCGGTCTCCGACGGGAGCCTATCCGGGTTGCTGAACGGGGTTTTGCCGTGCGCCATTCAGCAAATCTAATGCAGTAACAGAAGCGTATCTATAGAGAAAGCTTGCTACTTGTAGTGCAAATGGCATCGTTCTCATTCCACTGGCATCAAGTACAACGAGTTCCCTACATATTCATATATTAGCACAAACTTTCTACACTAGGAAGGATCTGTCTATGCCGAGGATGATCCACCGAAGCGGTGCATGTTGAAGAAGGTAGACGAAGCGGGTTGGTGGGCGGGAATTGAACTTGAGCTGGGAAAAATAAAAACGTGGGTGGAGGAAGAATGACCTCCAACCCCATTATATGGTTGGAGAAGGGCGAATAGCGCGCTTCGACGATGCCTGAGATTGCGTTACAGGCAGCTTCGCATTCACAATACGCAATTTTGAAAGTGTGAACACTGTAAAATTTTACATATTGAGAAAGCTTGCTACTTGTAGTGCAAATGGCATCGTTCTCATTCCACTGGGTTGACCTGAGACATGGAGGGAGATGGCTGTCGGTGGCGTGCAAGGGCTCAAGAATGTTGTGCCGGGGATGGTGCCAACCCGAGGGTCTGTACGTTGCGGGAAGCCGCAACCAGTTGGTCGACGGCAGGTGTGACATACATTTCTTTAGCCATGTCGCTGCACCATCGGCCAAGACGTTTGAAGAGCCGGTCTGCTACGCCTCCGTGGCAGCGACGGTTGCAGCACCTTTGTGAAAGGAGTGGGTGCCAAGGTGATGCTCACCCAGGCCGATGGACTGGAAAGCCTCCTTGCACCAGTTGCGTATGGTGGTGTATGATGGCAGCTTGCTGGTAGGGCGCCACCTGTGGCCACGCCGAACACCCGGATTAAGGGTCCAGGAGTGGTGGGTCCATAGCCTGCCAGCCGGATGAAGCGTTTGGTGCATCGGACAGGGCAGAGGGGTCCTGGGATGGCAGCAACAGGAACCCATAAGCCCTGACCTGCCTGGTCCGTTTTGGAGCGCGGGATGAGCAGCCACATTACGTCATCCTCAAACTGGATATCCTCCAGTTGATGGCCACGAGATCGGAGTAACGCAAAAATCCGACGTACATGAGAAGGGGAATGAGACCTTTCTGGAATGTGGCCGGGTCGTTGGCACCGATGAAGTGAGTAGCCATCTCGTGCACTTGATGTAAAGAGACCAGTTCCTTGGTTTGATTGGGCCGGGGATACTGTCGCTTGGCGAATTCTCGAACTTGTGACGTGAAGGGGCCAGTGCTGGGCAGGATGCCCCAATCATGCGGTGAGCGAAGCTGACGCCGAGCATGTGAGTTGTATCACTGAGAGAGTGGCCTTGTTGCGAATTGCATAACAAGGTACAAGGCGAGTGTCATGTCCGCGGTTGGCAGGAAGGGAAGGTTGACCCTGATACAGAAGGAACGAAACTGCTGCCAATAAGGTTCGTAAGTTCGAATTGTAGAGGGTGCGCGCGTTTGTGCCATGACCGAGAGCAGCTCGCGTTGCAGGGTTGGGATTAGATCTGTTGCGATACAGGCGGGGAGGCAGATATCAGGGAAACGCGACTTGCAGAGCGAGCATGAGGCTATCAGGTAGACCAGAGCCGGAGAAGGCGCTAGTGTGTGTGCCTGGGGCTAAGCATTGGCTTCCATGCGTGAGTCGGATGTGGGCTTTGATGGGGCTAGCCCAGGCTGGTGGTGAGGGTTGGAGGAGTGGCCACCAGCTGGCGCCGGGGCCAGTGGGAAGTACCAGGGTGAGAAACGCGTGTGTACGTTGTGCATGGTGGAGGACGGCGGGGAATCAATTGAGGTGGGGGGAAGCAAAGCGTGTTCTGCCGACCAAGAGATCGTGAAAGCGTGGCTCGCCGTAGCCGCGGGGTGTGGGTTTTCGGAACAGAAACGATGCAGCTTGGCGTTGCTAGCATTGGCGAAGAGAATCAATCGAATAGGGACCCCAGTGCCGATCAAGGATGTTGAAACCACGGCGTTTTCAGCGGTAGTCATCGCGGTCGAGTATCTTGGAGAGCTCGTCCGCATGCGGTGAGTTCGCGAGGGATCCACTCCATCATGAGGCGAACTCGGTGGGTAGTACACGTGCGAATGATCTCCTGCAAGCGATGGTGAGATCAGAGCTGTATGAGCCACCCTTCTTCAATATGAAGAAAACTCCCTAATTATCCATGCGTACAAGCACATGCTTGTTTCGGAGTAGGTCACTGTATGTCTGCAGTGCCCAAACAACCCCTTCAATCTCGCGACGGGTACTGGACGTGTTGAGAGTACCCCCAGCCGTGGCTGCTCGCGTCGATGTGAATTACAGCATCGTAGCTACAGCGCACATGAAATGGGGCACCGTTGAAGTGGTCGAACTCGGTTGACCAGAATTCCAACTCCTCGCAGGCGATAGGTGAGAGCGATACTCTGCTATTCCAAGAGGGAGCATCGTTGATGGTCTGCAGCAGGGCGTGGCTGAATGTCCTAGCAGTGGCCCCAAGCACAAGAGTCATCGAAGCAAGCATACCAGTAACCCGTGCGACGTGCTGGAACAGGACCTTGGACTGGCTGCGTCCGTCTTCCAGGAGCGACTGGATAGTAGCCTGCAGTGTGCCACGCCGTTCTGGACCCACAGAGAATTGGCCGACTTCGGTATCGAGTTCCAAGCCAGGAAACGTAAGCACTGGGTTGGTTGAAGGTGGATTTCTTGGCGTTGATCACGAGGCCTGCCTTGCAAAGATCACCAATAATGTGGGTGCAAGTTTCCCGGGCGTCGGCTTCCGAATGACAAAGGAAGAGGATGTCGCCCACATACGGTATGACACGCACTCCCATTGTTCTCCAGCGGCGCGCGAGCTGCTTGATCAACTGCGTGAAGATGAACGGTGCGGTAGCCAGTCCGAACGGAAGGGAGCGGAAACAGTATGAGTGCCCGCCAAATTGGAAACCCAGGAATTTCCAACACGACGGGTGAATGTCGACGTGGTGATAGCCAGACTTCAGGTCGATTGAAAACATCCAATCGCCTGCACGCGCCAACTCTGCGACGCGATTGAGTCCCTCGTACTTGAATTTGGGAATTTGCAGCTTCGGGTTGACCTTGCGCAGATGGAGGATGAGACGACGTTTGTCGCGCTGTTCCACAACGTTGAGAGGCTGACGCATGTGAGCGTTGATTCTGGCACCTTTGCTGCGGCGCCGGTTTGGAGGAGATCCGCGATGGCGGACTTCGTAAATGCCTCGTGAATTTGGGCCCCTGCATGATTGGTGCTCCGGAAAAGTTGTGGGGCCCTTGTTCCAAGGCATCCGGTAGCCTTTGTCAATGACTGATATGATCAAGCTACTGGTGCACCACGAACGCCACCAGGGTAGTGCGTCTCGCAGGCGCCCGCGCATGGTTGAGACCGTCCGGTCCGTTACTGCGTATTCGAAGGGATCACCAAGCCCCGTAAGGTCATGTGTGAGTAGTTCTGCAAATGAAATCCAACAAAAGAATGGGGTAAGGTTCGTAAATGTGGGGCAGAGCAAGTGTGAAGTCCACCAAACGTGATCGTGAGCATACACAATTTTTATTTTTATTTTTGAAGCCAGGGATGTATCCATAAAGGCTAGTGCCTGATATGATGTGAATTTCAGGGACTAGGGCAATGTGTATCTGGCCCGGCAGCCGGTCGCATGCTGCGCCACCGCGCACGCACTTTCGATGTTGCTTTCTTGCGTTCGGGCTCTCTCACTCTTTTTCTCTCTCTCTTTCTTTCTCTCTCTCTCTCTCACTCTCTCTCTCTCCCTCTCCCTCTCTCTCACTCTCTCTCTTGCTCTCTCTCTCTCTCTCTCTCTCTCTCTCTCTTGCTCTCTCTCTCTCTCTCTCCCTCCTTCTCTCTCTCTCTCTCTCTCGCTCTCTCTCTCCCTCTCTCTCTCCTCTCTCTCTCCCTCTCTCTCTCCCTCTCTCACTCTCTCTCTCTCTCTCCCTCTCTCTCTCTCTCTCTCTCTCTCTCTCTCTCTATCTCTATCTCTCTCTCTCTCTCTCTCTCTCTCTCTCTCTCTCTCTCTCTCTCTCTCTCTCTCTCTCTCTCTCTCTCTCTCTCTCTCACTCTCTCGCTTGCACCATCTTTCTTTGGCGAAGCATCGTGTTCCAAAAAGCCAAGTCCCTCGAATGACTTGTCAAAGCGCATGTGATGAGACGGAAGCTAAGGCTAGTTATGTTTGTTCGTGCTAGACATTGAAGGCCCAACAAAGTGTGTGGCTTCGTGTGCCTCGATGTGGCCGCACCCTTTTTTTTTTGGGGCCGTGCCTTCTTCTTGGTTGGGCTTGGTTGGCAAGGGCACCCAAGATAGGTTCCTAGGCTCCAAAAATGGAGCTGCCTTGTGAGGTCCCAAGGCATTGTGAGGCATTTTTTCAGATTGGGTTTCTCAATAATATTTTAAGAAAGGAGATCAACAAGAATTGAAAAGCTTGGCCCATGAGCTTCAGGTCTCGAGCCTTGGCCACTATCCAACACAGATTCTATCCTTTTTAAAAAGAGGATGAAACGAAAAGAACCGGCACCTCCAAGGGTGCCTCAACCAAGGTAGGTCAAAAAATGTTTTCTCCCCCTTGGGGCTTGGCCCATGGCCTATACTCATACCCTCGATCGGGTTTGGCCAGCAACCTTTGCATTCTAATTCCCAGCGAGGGAATGGCCAGCGGCCCTAAGCACCCCATGGTGCAGTGGCACCTACTCCAAAGTCCACAAAAAAATCCTCATTTTCTTTTCACACAACGGGTGCGGGCCCTTGTGACCCGCTCCCATTTCCAGTGCAGTTGTTTGCCGTGTGGCCCGGCTGGCCACAGCGAAAGCAAGTGCCTCGGAAGCCTCTCTGGGCGCCGCTCGGTGGAGGGTCAAACTTCCCTCTAAAGCCCATAGGGCCGCGGCCTCCAACGGGATGGCCACGGCCATAGGATCCTTGCGCACGTTTCATTGCCGCAACGTCTGCAACTGCTTGCTTGAAGGGGCGTGAGGTGAGGACACTCTTCTCTTGGTAGAGCTTGAAGCGGTGTGCCGTCTTGAAGTCGGAGGCGTCGGAGACTTGGAGGGGCTCGAAGCACTTGGCGATGAGCGCGTATGCCGCCTCGAAATATTCGAGCGAGCTCGATGTGTCGCCGTGGCGCACCTTGTGCTCCGCGTGCTTCAGGTACGCTCGCAGGTCTTCCAAGAACTCGGCTTGCTCGCGTACCCCAGCGTTGTTGAACAATGATGCCGGGATGGTTGGGTTAGAGAAAGGAAGAGGTGGGAGGTGCTCGGTGGGTGCGAAAAAAATTGCGTGTGTATGAGCCTCACCAGCCTCATTGTCGGAGTCACTGTCTTTATTGGCATTGTCTTGCGTGGCAGCGGCTAGCTCCTTCTTGGCGCGGGCGGTCTTGGAAGGACGAACGTGACGTGACGACTCCTTTTTTGCATCTTCAATTTTAGTCGAGGCAGAAATGGTAGTCGCAGCTGCTGTAACCGCGGGTGTGTTTTGCTGTAACAGCGCCAGCAGTGCCGCCACTTGCTCGTTGGTCAAAGCAGGGGCGGCAGGTGTTGGCGCGCTGGACGAGGCCGCCCTGCGGCCTCGCTTATTCTGACGCGCGGGGCCCGCCCTGCCGTTCGGCGCCTTCTGCGCGTTGCCATCAGCAGGGGACGCGTCATCCGTCGCCTACTACTCGCTGGCGCGTGGCCCACCAAGCTCAACTTGGTGGACCTCGCCACTGCGCAATAACACGTCGAGGGCAGAAGGGGCAAGGTTGCCCTCTGCCCGACGCTTGTTGCCGCGATCACCCGCCATTTCATGGGCGTTTTTCTCGGGTTCCGAAATATTCGGAGTGTTGATGGGCGGATTTTCAGCAGGATTGGCCGGGGTGCTAGGAGGGGCCATGGCTGCCTGGTTATGCGTAAGGATATCTGCGAGAAGCTGGGAAGGTGCTTCCCCGCGAGTGAGAGTTTTCAACTTCGCCAGAGTGGCGGGGCGAAAAAAGCGGGATGGGAACTCAATTGAACTTGAGCTGGGAAAAATGAAAAACGTGGGTGGAGGAAGAATGACCTCCAACCCCATTATATGGTTGGAGAGGGGCGAATAGCGCGCTTCGACGATGCCTGAGGTTGCGTTACAAGCAGCTTCGCATTCACAATACGCAATTTTGAAAGTGTGAACACTTTAAAAATTTACATGTTGCGTAGAGAGCGGGAACGATCACATTGAGAGGAAGAAGCTTGACTTCCCTCACGCACAGGGGAGCCACGTCGTCCGTTGCTCCTGAGATTCATTCTTGAAACAGGAGGACAACCACTTATAGCAGAAACCATTCCTCTAGTCATGGTAGAAAAACGTGCGGCAATCATATCCGCAAGTAGCATGCTCCTATGCCCAGGTCTAGGCATAGGAGGGGTTTAGAGTGTGCTGGTGGTAAGCAATCAGAGAAGAGAAGTGAGAATGAGACTAGGTGGCAGGTCCATCGGACCTGCGAGAATGTGAAGGAGCTTGTCTCTTTTACAGCAAAACTCCTCTTCAAAGCGAATCACAATCGCGATCAGTTTCTACTCCTGAGTGACTCCCCTACTCCCGAGTCCAATGGTATGCCCGCTGCACACTCCCCAGGGCTGTCTTCCTAACCACCCCCTCCACATCCGCTCAAACCTTGCCACGTAATCCCATCGTACCTCTACCAACGTACCTACCAATCACATCCATTGGATGGTTTCAATATCCATATTTCCCTCCAGCCAGTACTATCCAAACCCGTTCTCTAATTCCCCATATCTCCCATTCTCGACCACTAACAACCCGTGTTGTTTACACAGCTCCCTAGCACTCTCGAGTCCCAACGTGCCCCACACTCATCATGGCCCACAATCATAAATTCAACCCTTCTTCCATCTTGGTGCCCACATGCAACCAGTGGCAGATTGGACGTGATGACAATTCCGTCAGCAACCACTCTGGGCAAGGGGGCCACTCCCCCGGTGACAGTGGATGCAACGGCTACTGATACTGCTAGTGAAGTGGCAGACCAGCTGAGTGCGGGCCCCAAGAAACAGATCACGCTTCACACGCACATGAAGACCCCCATCCATATTCTACGATGTGGATTGGCATCTTTTACGGGTGGAGCCATCTTGCCCAGCGTGTCGGATGTGGTTATGGTACTCATTGAAGCCGCGCCAGATCTATGCAGGCAGCTTGTGTTGGCAGCCGTCGCAGGAGGTAAGAGGCATGCAAGTAGGAAACAAGCGGGTCGTGCATGGGTATTGCAGACTGCCTAACGAACGACCGCCCCTCAAATGTTTTGTCACCACATGAGCAGGGGAGTCGGGGGGGGAGTTACTGGGGCATTCTACAGCGGCGTAGAGGCGCACACGAAAACTGTACGCCCCAAGGACTCAACAGGTCTGCCGACCAGTCAGGAGCTTCGGACCATCAAGCCCCAGCGCATTCCGGAACTGGTGTATGGCTTCGTGCCAGCAGCAGCGGGGGATGAGGGGGGGGAAGCTGGCCGGGGGTTCGATTGGGGCGGAGCAAGGCATGGTCCTGGCTATCAGGCACAGATACCCACAGGTATGTGGCTTGGCCATAAATGTTGACTTTCTTCCATGTGGGTTTTGGGGTGGCATTGAGCAATCGTGTCATTTTCATGTCTCACTACCCCAGGTGTGCAGCAGAGGACGAGATCCCGCCCCTCACGTGGAGTGCGAGTGCTGTCGCGTGTCACGACGGACCTTGGAGCCTTGCGGGAGATAGAGGACAGTGGGGATGAGGATGGGATTGATATGACCACCATGGATGGAGGCATTGCATCCATTGGGGCTGCTAGGGACGAGGACAGGCATGAGGAGACAACGCATGTGGAGGATGCGGCGGGCCCAGGGTTGGAGGGAAGCTTGTCTAGGCCAGGTGTGATGGAGGGGAGAGTGGATGAGGGACCAATTGAACAGAGTGGGCACGGAGTTGCAACAGGCCTTGCCTGTCTGGGCATACCGCAGCAGTCTAGGGAGTTGCCCGCACCACCAGCAGATCCCGTTCACCTGGAGTGCAATGATCGCTAGACTAGGTGAGGCATATGTTGTGTAAGTGGGAAGCATTGTACAGTAATGCATGACAAAGAATGCATCACCCGTGCGTCAATACAAGACCCACGATAAACTTACACGCCATCCTCCTTGTCATCTGGTGCAATACAGGCTATGTGACGCGGAGCCAACCTTCCATGCATTCGATTGCGGCATCCCCCGTGACTGACCAGTAGCACCAACTCTAGCATCATCGGGTGAGGGGGTGGTATGTTACATGGATGCTGCATTCTTCGTACGGCTGATGCTACTGTTCACACTGCACTGTACTGCAGACCTAGCGTGTGGGAGGGCGATGTTATTGCAAAGTGCAAAGCTTTCACTAGGTGGCCTAGGTCTCCTATGGCGCTGCAAAAAATGTCACAAAACTGAGGTTTGGTGGTCGTGTGATGGAGCAGTGGATCCTCAACAAGCTAAAAAAAAGGGACCGAAGATGCCATGGCTCACGAGAACTGTGCTAGGGGCTTACCAGATATGTGGGTGTGCGTACCAGGCGATGTGGTCCATAGCACGTAGCATTGGTATGAAGGTGCCAACAGCAAGGATGATCGGCCCTAACATTATAACTACATGAAAGGCCCGATCGGCCTATGGGCCAGCATTATTCGCCAAAGCAAACTGTCAATGGTGCGGGTTAGGGAGGAGATCATGGCACGGTTCATGGGAGAGATATGGATTTCGGTGGATGGAAGGTGGTCGCAAGCGAGAGAGGGGGAGTGGGGCACCGCCTCCTTCATTGATAGGGTCTCCAAGAAGGTGCTGCACCAGGTGACTGTCAATAAGTGGGCGTGTGGTACTTCATCAACAGCCCTGGAACGTGTGGCCTTTGATAGGTTTTCCGGTGGTTGGGGTCATCACAGATGGTGGGATCACATTCAAGAAAGTGATCACTGATTTGAAGCTGAAGCATCAAGTTGATGTTTGGCATATGGCTCGTTCGCTTATCAAGGCATTCTTCAAAGAAATTATGGATGCCCGGAAGCCTGAAGACATGACCGTTGATGTTGTAAAGACGATTGAGGACTTGTGGCACATCAAGAAGACCAAATTGCTCCAATGGCTATCAAACAGGGGCCGAGCAGGGAACCTGACGATAAAATCAACGCGAGCGGTCTTGGTGCATGCTGTTTGGGCCCTGCTCCCAAACATTGATTACGCTGTGTGAGACCATAAGAAGTCATCTTACCTATTCCTTGAGTTAAGGCATGTCGTGGTTTGCACGGCTGGCGCTGCCGCAGAGGGTGATCATGTGGGCGAGTCGCTACGTGCCCTCGATGGTGATGCATACGATGCTGCTGTAGATGGTGCCGTAACGGAGGCGAGGGCGGACGATGTGGAGTTTGCCGATGTTGGCGAGATGTTCTCCTGGGATGTTCATCCAGGCAACGGAATTCGACCATGCTCCCTCGTGCCCTTGCCGCTGGTGGAGACGGTGGCTAGGAGGCACGATGAGGCTGCCGATACACCGGAAGCCCAGCCACACACAACTGAGGAAGGTGAAACTCGGAACGCAATGCACACCACCGCAAGTGCACTACTTGCGTTCAAAGGGCACGGGTTCGTTGGGCAGTGTGTATGCTACGCATTTTCAACCCACCATGCATTTGTGCTCGAATACCAATGCAGCGGAGATGATTGGAGCACGTAAAGAGATCGACAATCTCCACGCCCGTGGATGGTGGATCGATGATGGTGATGCGGGCGCTGATCATCAAACCGAGAGCGAGTCCAGTGAGGAGGAGGATGCGGTGAAGACACGGGGCAAGGGAGTGGCACGCAGGACAAACTGCAAGGCAAAGCGGGCGCAAAGGCAGACGGGTTGCGGATGCTGACCAAGACGAGTCTGAAGGGGAGAGTGATGGGGAGAGTGAGGTCTCAGCTGTAAGTGAGACAAGTGACTCGTTCCCGGATGCTCCACTGGTCGGGAAGTGGGCAGCAGCACATGGCAAGAAGAGGAGGGGACGAGCGAGGAGGGGTGCCCGTTGACGGGGGGGGCAGCAAGGCAGGCAATCCGATGGGTCATCGTCCCCTGCTGTGGCGGATGATGAGGCGGAAATGGGAGCAGACGCTGCAACTCAAGAATTGGTTGGGAAGAGGCGATGGGTGATGAAGGCAGAGCGGACTAAGCGGCCAGTGGCAAGGAGAAGTGGGCCATCAAGTACAGCGGATGTGGATCATGTAGAGGAAGTGAGCGTGGCGCAAAGATTTAGTATACATTTTCATCATGTTATGATGCGCTGTGCCACGCTGGCCAGGGCAGGGAGGCCGATGTCTGCAGCAGAGGTAGCGTTTGAGCTAGGGCTGTCGGCGGACCATTCGGTGGGAGACCATTCCAGGTGCGCACGCCATGGTATCACACCGCGCTGTGTTCTTGATAACAGGGGTACATAGGCTGCACTGTATGCACCTGAGTATGCCACCCACCTTGCTTTTTCGTGCGTGGCTGGAGAAGCATTGCAACGAGGAGAAAATGCGAGCATTTGTGCTCGGTGCTAGTTGTTGGCTGAATGAGTCCTTTCATTCCGTCATTTTCAAGTATGCACCTACACGCATACTTTTCCGAGGGAGTATAGAGGCATGCGTGGCGTTGTTGGTGCTGCACTGGAACAACATGGTAGAGCGCATAGTGCGGAAGCATGTGATCCGCATTAGACGAGCAACGCGTGTAAAGCGGGGGAAGCGGGAACGGGTGCTCGGACCCATGAATTGGAAGTGGACTTCGGACATTC